ACACAGACAACCCCGTAACAGTATGCGTTTTGTACTGCTGTTACACAGCACAAAACGCATAATAAATAGCAGCGCGCACCAGAAAAGCCGGTGCGATAATGCGTTTTGTGCAATTCAGCCCATCGAGCGAAATTTTCACTGCTTTGCATGTTAGTTTAGGTAAAAATAATTGAAACGTTGAAAAACAGTTAAAAATTTAATACGCCGGCACATGAAAGCTGAATTTGAAACCTCGACGGGTGGGCACCCCCTCCCCCCACCAAAATTTCAATCCCTTCCCAGATTCATTCTTCCCGGGATAATTTCTTCGCCAAAATTTTCACGGTACCAAGGTATACCCGAGAACGCGGGAATGCTGGATTTGGATTTGCTAGATCGTGGACAGGAGGTCATTACTCTAAAATTTTAGCTTCTTGGATGGTGACCCCCGAGATAATTTATCCGCCAAAGTTTTTACGGGGTCGCAGGTGATACCCGAGTGCGCAGGAGCGCTGAATTTTAATTTACAAGGTCGTGCGTGGGCAGAGGTCATTGTTCAAAATTTCAGTTTCCCAGCTTCCGTGGCTTCTGTGATAATAATTTCACCTGCCAAAACTTTTACAGGGCCATACATGTTGCTTGCGGGGACGGGAGGTAGAATTTAAATTTGCCGGGTCACACGTGGATGGGTAACATTCCTCAAAATTTTCAATTTCCTCGCTTTTGTGGTTCCCGCGTTGAAAGTTGCGGAAAACTTGCTGCGGACACACATACACACAAACACAGACAACCCTGTGAAAATATGCGTTTTGTGCAGCTATTGCACAGCACAAAACAAATAGTAGCTTTTCAAGATGTTATTCCTAAAAATACTCAAAAATTACGAAATTTAAATTTTAGGTTATGCGCAATGAAAACATATCTTGGGCTAAATTCCTAATTGTCTATTACTCTATTTCAAATCTCCGCAGCAAAACAAACCAAGCATCCATAGCGCAGAATTAGTTACTTCTTGTCAACGACACTTTCTGTCTGACGATCAAAGTCAAAATGGCACTTGCTACACAGATTGCCTTCGGCGTTTAAAATTCACTCTCACTGAAGAGTTTCATACAGCTATGCATTCATCGCACAAATTATTCGTTTCGCAGTGTTTTGTGCAGATGTGAAATATTTCTGATGGTACTTTATTTACGGTTTTATGAAGGAATCAATCTGGTAAGACTGGTACCTGATAACGGTGAGCATAAGCGCGGCTCCAATCCACGGATTGTCCCGCACTTCAGTCAATGCATCGAAAATATCCTCCATTCGATGATGCGGATTCGTCGAAAACGTCGACGGCACATGGATGAAATACATTGGAATGAGCAAAAATGAGAGGATTGTCAAACCAAAGAAACCTGTAACAGTAAGCAAGTTTTAAAGAACAACTTATTTTCATGCTATGATCAGTTGTTGCTACATCATTACGTTCGTTTTCGCCAGTGAGGGGGCAGACAACTTCTTCACTGCTCTCCGTTCTGGGCCATTCTCATATGCATAAATTCGGTTTTTTTTTTCTCCTTTCTACTGCCTTTCAAGCATTATTCATGCCAGACCAGAACAGCGCTAATGCATTCGAGATGTGCCGCAATTTGCTGACGCCTAGCATATATGTAGCCGCATGGCTTGTCAAGCTATCCTCAACTTGTTCTCATCAGCAGTCGTGGTTCACTCTCATAAAACAGAAACGCAAACATCGCGGAACGAAAAATTGCCGTCCTTCTTAGTATTGAGAAAGACTTTATGTAACTTGATAAAGACCGTCAATTCAGCGCTTTTTTATGCGTTTTTGGAGCCATGCAAGGCAGGTAATTGGCCATCGCACGGGTTGCCCGTGCGAAAATGCGTTTTTTGCACAGCTTCCCGCAGATTTTTGTCGTCAACGGCACTGTGTTGTTCCAGCAGATGCTTCCAGCTAAAAGAATTTCAGACTAATCGCCAGGACTGTTAGGAAACATTCCTTCAAAATTCCAGTCTTCTACCTTCTCAGGTTCTCGAGTTATTAATTTACCCGAAAAACTTTCACGGGCCCGCACATGGGTACCACGCATACCCGACGTCTGGGTTTGAGCTCAATGAGACTTACGTAGACAGGAAACGTTCTTTTAAAATTACAGCCATCTAACTTTTCAGATCCCCAAGTTGGGGACTTACCCGTAAAAAATTTTCACGGGCCCGTACGTGGGAACCACACATACCCGAGGGCTGGACTCATTAATACCTACTTGGGCGGGGAATACTCCCTTAAAATTCCAGTATTCCAGCTTCTCAGGTTTTCAAGTTAGCAACTTACCCTGAAAAAACTTTGGCAGCCCATTACGTTGGTACCACGCGTAGCCGAAGACTGGTTTGAAGCTCATTAGGACTTACGCCGACGGGAAACATCCCTTAAAAATTTCAGCTTTCTAGCTTTCTGGTTCCCGAGTTCGCGACTTACCCGCAAAAGACTTTCGCGGGCCCGTGCGTGAGTACCACGCAGGTAAGACCGCCCTTTTGGGGACGGGGGCACGTACATGCACGTAGATTAAGTTCCCAAAGTTTCAACCCCCTAACTTTGTAGGTCTCGAGATGAAAAATCGGTACAGAGGCCAGCGAACACACAGACAACCTCTAGTCAATATGCGTTTTCTGCATTGCACAGCTGCAAAAAATGCATAAAAACGCATACTGACGAGGGGGTGTCTGTGTGTGTGTCTGTGTGTTCGTCTGTGCCGATTTTTCGTCTCGAGACCTACAAATGATATGGGGCTGAAATTTTGGGAACTTAATCTATATGCATGTTCGGGCCCCTATCCCCAAAATGGGCGCACTTACCCGCGTGGTACTCACGTACTGGCCCTCCAAAGTTTTTCACGGGTAGGCTGCTGACTCGGAAACCAGAGAAGCTGGAAAGCTGAAATTTCAAGGAGACGTCCCCCGTCCGCGCAGGTATTAAAGAGCTCAAAATCAGCCCCCGGGTATGTGTGGTACCCGCGTACGGGTCCGTGAAAATTTTTTTCCGGGTAAGTTGTTAACCCGGGAATCTGAAAACCTAGAGGACTGGAATTTTCGGGGAATGTTTCCCAACCAAGCATGTGTTAGAGAGCACAAACCCAGACATCAGGCGCGCGCGGTACCCACGTACGCACCCGCCAAAGTTTTTTTCAGGTAAGCTAACTCGGGAGCTAGAAAAGCTAGAAAGCTGAAATTTTAAGAGGGTGTTTCCTGACAGTTCTGGTGGCCAGTCTTAATTTGTTCAGTTAGAAGTACTTGCCGAAAAAACCGATGCCGGTAGCGACAAAAACTGCGGGGAACTATGCAAAAAACGCATCATTGCACGGGTAGCCCGTGCGTTGGCCAATTATTAATTTCTGTTTAGTTTATATCCACCTCATTATTCAGGCATACTGTCTGTGCCAAGTTACTACGAGTTTCTACGAGATCGACTGGATAATTTGCTGGGTCTTACATTCAACTACTGAAAGGCTTTCTTCAACCACTTGATTTTCCTTCAATGGTTTTAAACATATAAATGCCTTCCCATTGTTCTCAAATTCATTTGACAGATTTAGTAAAAAGCATGCGGATTTTGCAACAAGAACAGCGTTGCTGGAGAAAATAAACACCTGGAATGTTCTATTGTCTACTAAAGCCCTTCTTCTGTTTTAATTTTTTGCAAGAAATTCCTCAGTGGTAGCCAACGATTTCGAAAAAAATACGCCCTAATTCACATGCCATTACAAATCTATATGCGCGTAAAAATCAAAATGACGATTTCCCTGCATGATCCGGTGACAAAGTCTTCTTCAATAATGTGGATCAGATTGATCCGTAGACTGAGAGAGCTTGCAGTACAGCCTATGTTACGTCCCATTCAGTTAAGTGTTTTTTGAAATCAACGAGTTGCAAGTGCAAAATAGTTCTGTGTTTTTGCATTTTCCATTAAATGGGCTGCCGTTAAAATGTCAACGATTGCACGAAGCTGCTTTGCGAAGTCTGGTTATTTTCTTCGTTGTTTTTAGTAAAAACCCCGTCGAATCTGGTACTTGAGTGTATTTGAGCATATATTATGGTAAGCATATTGGAAAGCATTTAAAAAGGGCGAGAAAAGGCTGTCAGATTGACCAACGACTGGAGGACGAAAAACACGAAGCGTGGCAAAAACGATGAAAAACAGTCGCTGAAGGAAAAAAAAAGATGAAAGAGCAGAGGGGAGAGAAGGGGTTTCGTATCGAGAGATTCACAACCCAGACCGCCTACCCATCCCCTTATAAAGAATCTTCTTTTTAAAAAAAATGG